CTAATTACTCTTAATTTGTTACCTTAATTAAAGTTTCAATTAATTAACAAGGGAAAACAAATAAAAGGGTTCTCGAAAATATAAAATTTCAACATGTTATTCCGTTCCTGGGACATCGAAATTGCTGAAAGGGAGGTGGAAACTTTTAGGAGGAAAAAGGAAGTGGTCGTGGTCTGGTTTGCTGAATTACATGTTTGGTTCTTCCATTTTACTATGTCCAGGGCTCAATTTTACATGGAAATTTAAACACGTTGCGCACATGCAGGGACGGTGGATCGTCTTTCAATAAACCTCGTGTAGAAGATGAAGATGAAGATGATCAAGATTATGATACGTTTACTAATTACACATTTAATGATTTGACAAAATCACGCCACTAATTGTTAACTAAAAATCTTAGTTTAATTGAAAAAGATCTTCGTCTTCCGGGTCACAAGAAGAAGCTAACTGGCATTAGGTCAACACCCTTTTGACTAAACAGGTCTCAAACATTAATGAACGAAGTGTTAATTAATTAATTTAGATTAAAATATAATTAAACCAAGTCTCTCAGAGGATCTGATTTGATCGCAGTCTTCAAAGCCAGATAATACAACTAATTAAAATTAATTAATGTAAATATATTACTAGGGCTCACGTGGGGCAAGTTGCCGAGTAAATTATTTATACGTGCATGAAGAGGGTTTATTCAATTAATCCTCAATGTTTGAATACATGACCGTAAAATCCCAATATTTTTTGGTAAGTAACAAATACACCCGAAAAAATTGATTACTTTACCAAAAAAAAGACTATCATACCCTTCATCTAATTATATATAAAAATTGAAAAAATAAAATCTGAGATGATTTTAACATCTCTTATCTTATTAAGTTATCATACTTCACTCTTCCATTTTATTTTATGGTAAAGTAATAAAGTTTTTGGATTAAATTGTTACTTTCCAAAGTTGTTGGGTGTATTTTTTCCTCGAACATTGAGGAGAATACTGTTAGAAACCCTGCATGAAGATGAAGTGGAGGTCAGCTCGTGAAGGCTAGATTATGAAATATCAATAGATAAGTAATGGCAAGATCCTTAATTGATTCTTTCAAGACACCTGGCCTTTTTGTGACTGACCTTTTTGTCATTAGTGATTTCTGTGTTTGTTTGTGAGTGATGCAGTGAGATGTGACTGAGCTCAAGAGAAAGAGAAAGAGGGAATCTTTGTAAAGGACAGTACTGAAATAAGAGACAGACAGAGAGAGAGAAAGAGAGAGAGAGGAAGATGATGATCAAGAAGACCCTTGAGCAGTTAAAAATGGCTGCAAATGCGCTGTTATGGAATCTGAGGCCATGTCCCTTGGATTTGGAAACACCACGGGAAGGTTCTTTTGCTTATATTTTAGTGTCTGCCGACAACTCCTTCTAGTAATAGAATTTTAGTATCAATTAATATATAAGTACAACTGTAGAATCGGGTTTTTCCTTAGGATTCCTTTTCTGATGATTTGTTTTATTAATTATTATATACATCTTTCATGGGCCTGGGTGTTTTTGTCAGCTTTGTATGATGATGATAGTTTTGTCTACAATCAGTCTTCATAGCCCTTAAAAGATCCTCCATGCCCAAGTGATCTAGAATCTGGTTCATATTATGGAACTTCTCTTGTTAATTCACAAAGTTCAGAAAAATATATCAACTACAGGAAATAGGCTCATTATTTATAATATAATATAAGAATATTTTTTAATTTCATCATTTTAAATAGAGTTAACGACTTTTTCCTACCCAAATAATAGTTTAATGATACTTTTCGTTTACAGATTTTTAAAATAATACTTTACCATCCAAATTTATTTTCGGTGGCGAACAGAGAGTAAACTTGTTCTAGGTTGTTGGGGCTTTTGAAGAGAGGAGGTCGATAAGTCTTTTGGTGATTGGGATTCATCGAAATTTGACTTGAAAAAAGCGGTTACAGAAACCCTAATCACTCGATTTCTGAAGATTGACAGGGTCAACGGGAGTAGGGTTTTAAAAGGTTTTGTTAAGTGATAATCGGGAAAGAAAATGCTAGTGGTGTAAGATCACAACAATGCCAAAATTGAAAACAGAATATAAATTTGGGTAATAAAATGATATTTTAAAAATCTAATGATGAAAAAATGTCATTAAACCATTATTTGGGTGAAAAAAAAAAGTCTTTTAAATAAGCTCAAAAAAAGTTTAAAGTAGAAACTCAAATTCTTAAAATATCTTATTTAAAATCTAATAACCCAAATAAATTTCAAATGTGTTTATAACTTCAAATAAACTCTTTCGGCCAATAAACCAAACGTGCGTAATTTCAACCACTGGACTTGATTATTCTCCCAGAGAATATTCATTTCATGAGTCGTGAAGCTGTGATACTGTGTTTAAAGAATCACGCAGAAAAAGAAGAAGAAGACGAAGAAAGATGAAATTACAGTACTTAAAACAAGGGATAAGCTGCAGGTAATCTGCAATGAAACGAGGGACCGAAAGTTAACAGGTACATGTGCCACCTCCGACAATTTGTAATCTCCCTGAGTCTCTGTAAAGTTGGTGAGATGGATGTGACAGAGAGAAATAAATGGGTAAATTTCTCAGTTAGTAACAGTCTTTCATTAACACAGTAGTAGAATTTGGTGGCCAGGGAAGCCAACAAAAAGAACATATCAAATTCAAAGCTTTGATGATATGATATGACTACTCGAGCTTGGAGTTGAGTCTCAGCCATGGTTAAGTTTTGACCAAGCCAGTCTATGGCTTAAAATGTTTAATTCTGTAAATGCGCTAATGGCTTGGCTTGTTCACAAATAGGAAGACATGTATGAATTCTTCAACAGACAAACGCTTTGCAAAATTTTTCTCTTGGTGTGGCAAGATTAAGGGCTGAAAATTTGATGAAAGGCCCAGATAAAAGCCCAATTTTGGATCTTAACATCTTATAATAAAATATGTATAATTGTGATGATGATATTATTAAGTTAAAAGAAGATTTTGAATTTGGATAGAGGGAATTTTTAGTGTATGATTTGGTCATAATCTGACAAAGATCTTGAAAGAAGAGTCACGTTTTTTACTATTAATTTCATAATTTGAATGCAACCTAAGATCAACTCTCTCTAAACTAATCCACAAGCAAAGCAAAACTAAATAATGCAATTATGCAATCCAGAGGTGTGGAAATCTGGTTAACCGAATCGGATTGCCCACTTTTTGAACTAAAATTATATTATTATTTTTTTAGTAACTGGAGTGTCCGGATCAGTTTATGTGTATCTCAATTAATCTCCGATGTCTATTAAATACCTTACAAACCCAATGAACCGGATAAGATACAATTATATATTGAGATAGGTGATTCCAAAGTTTGAACCTAGAAAGTCAAAAGAGCACACTTTCTTAATCACCAGACCAACCCCTTGGGGTTGCTTCTCTTAAGTATTGTTCTGTGATCAGTTGCATTGAGCTCAACCTGAACAGGGCTTTCCACACAAAAGTGTGCCACAAACAAATTGGGATCACCATTAATCATCACTGTCTCGACACTTCGTTTTTTCAGATCATACAACACAAGATCTTCATTCATTTTCACTTTCAAGAGAAAATTATCAACACCATTATACCATTCCCGGGAAGGTGGATTCAAGAAACTGAAAGGAAGTTGTTGATGCGTGATTTTGACACCAATCAAATGCACGTATGAAATACTGAGCTGGCCCAGAAGACACACATGAATGAGAGAGAGAGAGTAAAAGCAATGAAGAACAGTGTTTTAAGTGGTTCGGATGCTCAAAGAAGCAAATCCTACGTCCACTGATTTTGTATTAATAATAATGGTCAGGTCGCGTTCAGCGGGATTAGAGGCTCAAATCTTTGGCAATCAAACTGAGATGGAATCTTAATGAAATGGAGTAATTCAAGTGAAATTTGGACCGTCGATTAGGGATAAAATTGGTTTCGAAAGACAACGAAATCGTAATAGAGTTTTTACAAGAAGTCGGAAAAAAAATGTCAAAAATTAAATCTAGTGGGATGCTAGAAATTTGTGTCTGGGATTTGCCATTGATGAGGAGAATCAAACTTCAAAGAAGAGGAAAGGAAAGGAAGAAAGCTCATAGAAAATTATACTAAATAACTAAATTATGTTTTGATGGCATTAATTTATATGTACAATTTAATTTACCAATATCTTGATCATACATCTGTTTAAAGTCTCTTTGATAATTTTTTTAATAACTGAAAGTTAAAAAAGGAAGACATTTCTCCAAAGCAAGTTTTTCTCATTCTTTCTTTAGATTAACTTTCCCCTTTCCTGCGTGGTTCCAGGCATTGTTTTAAAACCTGGATCGGAGAGTAACCCGTTTTGCTGCCCAGGTCACGAGTCAACCGGTTGGACCGATGACGTCAGTGACAATTTTATTTTTTAAAAATTACATATTAATCCCTTAAATTTTAATATATTACAAATATTCCCCTATTGACATATCTCCAAAACACCCCTATAAAATTACAATTAACCCTTATAATTTTGAAATATTACAAAACCCCCTAAGACCTGAACCGGACTGAAGAAGCTGCCAGGTCTCGGTCCAACCGGCTGGTCCTGTCCGGTTTTTAAAACAGAGGTTCCAGGTAATGCTTTTTCTCCCTTTTTCATTAAAATAAACTATTGTCTCATCTCATTTTCTTTCTTAAGCGAGAAGATTATCCTTGTTAAAAGACCTATTTCAATTCACAATTTTGTATATATTATTTTTTTATCTAAAATAATTTTTATTAAAATTAAAATTTTTATGAGTAATACAACACTTTCTGACTGATATCCTAAAATTTTGTACTCGGCTGCTACAATATCAAGCTCGAGCTCGAGCCATTAGAAATTTCAATTCATCTTTTGTTTCTACTACCAACAAGATAATTGAAAAGTCAAGCGAGAACTTGCTATAAGCAATAAAGAATTCAGCTCCTCAACTCAAACCCAATACAAATATTGGAAAAACAAAACAGAAGTGAATGGTAATTAAGAAAGTATCTCTCAAACACTGGGTCAAAATTTTGCATACTAGCGCAACTCAACAGTACAACAATTGCGTTTCCTCTCACCACCAATCTGTACAGTTATATCTTATGACTGTAAAATGGACACTGTTACTCGTTAAGAAATCAAATTTAAGCAATACACTTGACACTCTCAGTGGAGGACTGCTTTTTGTCTCTCATCCGCATCTTCTTGCTCAACCTGAAAAAATTTAATTTGAAACATCAAGATTCACTCTAATCGTATTGATGTCAACTTAACCACGCAGAAACAGAAAAATAGAACTTGCAAAAAGAAGGATGGTGTATCTACATCAATCATTAAACCTCGTAAATTCGTAATGAAAGAGGAAAGAACATAAATACGTGGAGATAAACCCTCACCTCAACAAGTACCCTTGCTTTCTTCTTTAGTTTGGCACCAGGTTCATCTTTCTCAAGCTTTCTCAAAGCCAAGTTAGATTCTCTTCTCTCTCTTTTGCGATCAACTGCTACTGTTTCCTCATCATCATCATCATCCACTCCAACTGTATCATTACACCAATATTAAGTTCACAATTATATCCATGAATAAAATATCATTTCAGTTTGATGTTTCAGACACTCTGAAAGAAAACATTCCAGAACCAGAGAGTGAACAATCAAAAGTGTATGAGACCCAAACAACATGTTATAGTGAGGTGTAACTTGCTATTTTATAACATAAAAGCACCTCCTAGCAGATGACAATTGCGATTAATTAATCCATTTAAATGAAGGTTTTAATCAGCAACCAACACATATGTGAATAACAAATGTATGCATATATTATGCAAAGTTGATGGATGCATACATACCCCATTGTATTAAAAAAGGCAACAAAAAGAAAGCATTGAAAACCAATTTTACCATCATCATCATCTGAATGGAACTTAGTAATTGCAAGACCACCAAAATCTTCCATATCCTCCTCCTCTTCAAGATCATCATACCCTTCAACATATTCTATTTCAGCTTCCTCCTAGTTTCGATCCCAAACAAAGGAAGTTCAGTGATAACATAATGATACTTCCTTAAAAAAAAATGTTTTACCTTCATAAAGAATTATTTCATCCAAAAAATAAGAAAATGTAAAATTGCTGGTAAAGTCAGATGACATTCTTATAGAACTACCTCATCATCTTCCAAATCACTAGCAGCCAGTTGTTCCTTATCAAGGATCTCATTATATTTGTCAGCAGGATAATTATATATGTCACCATAAACCCCTTTCTTCAGGCGCTCCAACAATTCTTTTTCAATACTCTGCAGAAGAAAAACAATAAAAACGGTGATGCTAAGAGTTATGGAGAAAATTTTGTTCATGTCTTTCAATAGCATGACTGGGAAAATAACCTTATCCAAAACTGCTGCCTTTTCGGCCTTTTCCTCTCTTCTAGCCTCCCTTTTCTTCTCCTTCCTAGGAGTCGTCATAATCTTTTCCCTATAAAAAAACACAAACTAGGGAGTATAAAATTCCAAATAAACGTTGCAAAATATATTATTCAACTCAAAGACTTGATATGCAGAACATTATACGTGATTTGGACAGCTACATAGTAGATATTATTCCCTTAAAAATAAAAATCTAAAACTGGAAGCAGTAGAAAGCATGCGAAAGTTGTGAACCTTGTTTTCAAAGCAAGCTTTCTCATGCGAATCCGCATCTGAGTCATTTTAGTCAACCTTTGCTTTGTTTTGTGTACCAAAAACTTGGGCCAATACATCTGTCAAATTGAGAAAGCACATTGAAATTCAGACAATTCACTTTCAACCTCCAAAAAGTAGAATTACTCAAGACAACCCAAACCATGTCATACAGACACAAGCTGGGTTTCCCATACCAGATGTTTGTCAATAATTTCAAGTGCCTTCTCATAATTCCTTGGCAACTTAACCCTTTCCCACAATTGGTTTGGTTGGTGAGCCCTTTCTATGGTTTTCATATATAAATAAAATACACCTGTAGCACACAAAAATAAATAAATAAGCATACAAATAGTTTCATCAATGAGCAGGAGATCACATATTTCACGAACTCAAAAGAAAATGAGCACCCACAGGCAGCTCAAGGTCCATTAAGGTCACTATAAAGTTACACATAGCAAATTATAAATAAATAAAGTTCACAACCCAAAAAAGGTACCATCATGGTCACGAATGGTGGCATATCGACTGTTAGCGAGAGGGCAAGAGCTTCGGTTACAAATGCCAGTTACGTTATACGGGTTTCTACAGAACTTCCCCGTCTCGATTCTACACACCAATCAAATTCAATAAAAACCCAACAAAAAAGTAAATAAACTAAATTTGAATGAAGATGAACAAATAAATGGTCAAGCAGAAGACTCACTTGGCCATGAAACTGCAGTGATTGTGCCTGATAACTTGCCATATAACCTCATCGTGCTGCATCTTTACTTGTTCTTTATTTAGGGTTCATAAACAATAGAGAGTGTTAGATTCAAGATTTACAGAAATTTACGATATACAAGAAGTTTATAAACCGGACTGAACTGATTATAGGGGCAAACCAGTTAACCGATCTCTTAAAACTGGTTAACCGGTTTTGAACCTGTTTTGCCCAGAAAATTGAAAACTCCAGTTTAACATCATACATAAAATGCAATAACTTAAAAATGATACATGACCATTGTCCAACACGATCAGTACAATTTCCACAAACACATGGTCAACACTACATTGAAACACCAGCGTTTATAAGAATAAAAAACAACCCAACAGCTTAGCAAATTCCTTTCGTCTACTAAACATATTGTTCCAGTTCTTAAAATAAAACAAGAAGAGAGGATGAGCTCTATACAATTCCAATTTTAATGACATACAATCCTTAATTAGAATTTAATTCACCTCAACTATTTCTTCTCAAGTTTCCAGAACATCAAAATAGTGTAACACACAAATTTGAAGAAGAAAAGTACAAAACTAGACAAAATTTCCAAGAATTTAAAATTTATATTTGACTCGATAGAAACATGTAATAGAGAAAATTACAAAATCAAAATTTAGTACCTGAAGACTGACGAAGCTGACTGGTATATCTAATTTGAGAGTGACGGACGGTGGAGAAGCTGAAGACCGACGAACGAAGTGAAGTGGTCTGAGATGGTTCGGAGGGAAGATTGAGTGACGAAGTGGTCTGTGTGTTGAAGACTTGAAGTGCGGCGTAACGAAGTGAAGAACGAAGAAAAGAGAAATAAGAGTGGGGATTGAAAACCGGTTCTAAAATTCTGTTGAACCGGTAACTGAACCGGAAAACAACCGGTTTTCAACCCTTAGGTAAACAATCCATTAACACCACTTAAAGGGAAGATCTGAAAACACCTGCTGAGTATTACTCTTTTCTCTTTCTCTCCATATTCATACCATTAACATGGGTCTTTATTTTCTTGAAATTTATTTATTTATTTATTTTTTTTGGTGATGGGAGATGTTGAGACCAATTTACACGCACTTTAACTAATTTTTTAGAGTCTAAAGTTGATAATCGGATAAATTCTCTTAGTAATTACCTCTATTAGCAATCTAGGTGAATAGAACTAAGGACCTTTTAAATAATACATCCAAAAGTTTAAGTTAACTGTTGGATCACCCAATTATGGTTCCGTGTTTATATGTTACTAATTCGTTACTTAATGTAATACTCAAATTCAAACATGGTTTATGGTATTGGACCTTATAGGGTTTGTTATCTTTACACAGTAGCTTTGTTCGTCTTCGTCTTTACATATGCAAGTCAAAGTTAAGTGTTGCAGTTGTTAGATTTCAGTTTGCGGAGTGGCAGCTAGCTGACGAAGATGGATTTCTCTATGCAAAAATGAATTAGACTACATTTGAACAACGGTGTTTCTTTTAACTAAATTCTGTGGAGTTTCTTGCAATACTTACTCTTCCTTATTTAGCACAATTTCCTGTTTGATATTAATTTTACTTTGTAATTTTTTTATCCTTTAGCAAGACACCAAAACTTAAAGAGTAATGCTACAGCTATCGATGGTAATGTATTGAATTTATATACCGAATAACGTGATAAAATCATGACTATTGATTAATATTAAGTTAAAATTAATCAATAGTTAATATTTTACTATATTATTCGGTGCATTACCGTCGGTGACCGTATTATTTTTCAAACTTCAGTTGAGGTGAATGATGTTACTTGTACATGGTCTCCATTTTATTCCCCAAGTGCTTCATAAGTTGCCTCGGTTTTCTTAATCGTTGGAGTGTGCTTGCTGTTTAATTGTGTTTTTTGAGTTTTTTCTATTTCAAAAAATAGGTTGTACTACATATATTTATTTTATATTCAAGAAAATAATATATTAAAATTTTTTATTCAAAAAATCTTGGTTGCATTTGGTTTCATATTTCTACCCATATTCTCAATCATATTCCCCAAATATTGTTTGGCAGATTATTTGAGAAATATGACTATATTTTTTTAATTACGTTTAGATCCTTTAAGTTTATTAATTTCATTAAATACTCCTAGAAAAAAAGTTTAAAAATTAACAAAAACACCCCCACCAACCCATACTTGCCAGATTCCGGCAACCACCGTCGGTGGTAGCCAAAATCTGTCACAACAGCCTACACCACGATCGGAACTGGCCGGTATTCACCGATTTAGCCATCAGCGACAGTCAAAGATAGACTTTTGCAGCCGTCGACGGCCACATATGGACATAAATTTGACCTTTTCCGGCTAGATCTGTGGTGGATTTGGCCGGAAAAGGCCATATCGACGTCATACCCGCAGATTCGAACGGTATGTGTCGTTACACAATTTTTCAGCCAGATTCCGACGGTGGTGGCCAGAATCTGGCACTGCGGGTGGTGAGGGTGTTTTTGTCATTTTATAAATTTTTTATATATTTGGGTGTTTAGTTAGATTAGCAAACCTATGAGGTTTTTTTATAAATTTTTAAAATTTACCTCGTAATACACTCCTATTCAACTACTCAATATTATTCCTAAAATCCTATCCAAAATAATAAAACAAATGGACCCAAGAATTTGTTAAGTACACCCACTCTTTATCTAAGTATCATTTATTATTAATTACATATTTACCTTTTGGATAAAGCTATTTATACAATCTCTCATGCAAAGAAAGTTTGTACAAACTGACATGACATATCATATACCATACTATGTGGTATTGGTGGTCACATAATTTAATATTACATTAATATCATATGAGCCCTCATTTCACGTAACAGGCACATAAATTATCTTTGTACAAATAACTTTACCTTGAACGGGGCAACTGACCAAGTGAGATCACTACCTGTTAAAAAATTTGGGATTTGTCAGATGACTTCAAAACGAGTTTGGTGAATCTAATTGTCATGTTTGACTATTTGTGAATTGCGTTTATTCACGTGTCTATTTGATTTTTACTTCGACAATATACAAATACATGATTGATAGTTGATATACAATATATTTATTAAAAATAAACAAATCCTGACCATATATTATTATTAATGTATAAGTGTATGAAATTTTTAACAATTCAGAGAGCTTAAATCATGAAAGAATTTAGTTCCATAAACATAGGTTTAATTGGACAATATACTACAATATACATTATTTTATTAATATTTTTATTATTAATCTGACTACTATATAATAGAAAACTTACAAAATTCAATTGAGATTTCAATCTTGTTAGTAATTGTGAGATATAATTTTTTTTTTTATAATTTCTTTTGAAAACAAATCTATTCCGGAAAATAATAAGCAATTATCCCTATCAAATTATCTCTAATTTCTAAATCCAAACAGAAGGTTAGGCTTAGGCGGCTACATTTACACTAATAATTTTATAATTTGAAAGCGCGCGAGGGGAAAAGCGGAAATCAAAATAAAAACTGGCGGGCTTTTCCAACACATCACCAAATTAGTACCCGTCAAACGGAGCCCAAATCACACGCGTTTCATCCCAGAGCACAAAACTCTCTCAACTTTTCTTTCCCAAACTATCCGGCCTTCCGTTTCTGCGCTTCAAATCCATGATGGATTATAACAAACACCAAACGATTTCCACTCGCAGAAGCTTGAAGCGAAAGCTCGAGCAAGATTTCCAAGAAGATAAAGCAGATCGCAACTTCTCGATCCTCGGTTCAAACGACGACATCTATAAAGATCTGGTCAAAGATATTCGCGCTCACGTTGATGTACTCAACTCCAGCTTTTCGTCGGCCGAAGCCGATCGCGCCGCAGCCAAACGTGCCGCAAACTCCCTGGTTGAACTCGCCAAGAATGGTGCCGTTTTCGCCTCTTTTTTCCGATCATTTTTTAAATGTTTATGCACAGCTCGTTTTAGTTGTTGCATGTGATTGTTTAGTGTCTGGATTGTCAAAGAATTGCTGTCTCGATAGCCGAGTATAATTGTTAAGCTGAAATTACTTTATATTAAATTATTTTTTTTACTATTTTACTAGTTTTGTTTTTCTTGAATTTTTTTTTTTTTGGTTCAAATTGACCGCGTTTTATGATGTTTTAATTTTGTTGAGCGTTGATTTAGGGTTTGCAAAAAGTATATGTCAATAATTTATTTCAGTTGATTGAGTTATTGTTGATTATAGGATTACTGAATTTCGGTGATATTTATTGTGCAGAGGAAATTGTGAACGTAATTGTTGCTAATGGAGCGGTACCTGTGCTTGTGAGACATCTTCAGGCTCCACCACCACTGCCATTGAGGGATTTTTCGATGCCATATGAGCATGAAGTGGAGAAAGGAAGTGCTTTTGCGCTTGGTCTTCTTGCCATGAAAGTAATTAAATATTGTGCCTTATTTTTAGTATTTCTCCCGTTTAGCTGCTTGGATTGTTGTTTTGATATTTATATGTCTAATTTCTTGATGATATTTAAACAGAAAAATCAATTGCCATGAAATTGATAGAATTTTCTGCTCAATTTTAGAGTTATTTAGTAATAGATTATGTGCTAGGCTTCTTGTTACTAGGTTAGATTTGTTAACTATGTTGGGGATTCTATAATTTGGTTTTGACCATTCTTTGTAGCTGAGTGTATACTATACTAAGGTCATGGGCTGCTTTCAGCAATACTATTGGTTGTATTCTTCCTCCTCAGTTCATTGCTATAGTTGAAATGATTGCACATTTTACTGGAGAAATTACACTTGTGAAGAAAATCATAGACATCGCATTATTTTAAAAAGAAGATATACACTCTATTATATAAAAAAGAAGACTCCCGTCTCTTTTTCCTATACAGATTTAGTGATATCTTTTATGTGGAAATCAGCGAAGGGCATTCTGTTCCTCTATGTGTCCTTAATGTTTGTAATTAATTTTTGGTTGAATATTAATCTAAATAGGGGTTTTTGTTTGTGATGTGGACACATCTTATATTTAGCTGTTTTTTGGTTGATATTTCATGTTTAATGTACTTGTTTATCACATTGTAGTTATTTTAATTGTTGCTTTGTTAAATAGCCAGAGCATCAACAACTCATAGTTGATGTTGGAGCTCTATCTCCTCTTGTGGCCTTATTAAAGCAGCATCCGAATGGGACTAAATCTAAGGCATTAAATGGTGTTATTAGGAGAGCAGCTGACGCAATCACCAACCTTGCTCATGAGAACGCCGACATCAAAACCCGTGTCAGGTGTCCCTTTTTGCGTATTGTCTTTCAAGTCTTATAAAAACTATCATGTCTTCATTCTAATTCTTCTGCTTACATTCAGGGTTGAAGGTGGAATTCCACCTCTTGTCGAACTGCTTGAGTTCATAGATGCAAAGGTACAGAGGGCAGCTGCAGGGGCCCTGCGAACTCTTGCCTTTAAAAATGATGAGAACAAAAAACAGGTAGGTTTCTCCTACTACATAGTATTGTATAGGTGTTTTTAAATTAGTTGTTTAATTTGAATTGCAAATTTTCAGATTGTCGAATGTAACGCTCTACCGACCCTTATACTAATGCTTCGGTCAGAGGATGCTGCATTACATTACGAAGCGGTTGGTTCTCATGCATACTTGTGTATGTTTAGATTTTTACTCTAAACTTCATTTTGCTTTTAGCGTTAGCTGACTTCACCTGAGATTGTCAGGTTGGGGTCATTGGGAACCTGGTTCACTCATCCCCAAATATAAAGAAAGAAGTTCTTCTTGCTGGAGCTTTACAACCTGTCATTGGATTACTCCGGTAAAATGATGAATTTTGTGTTACATTTCATCTTTTCCTCAGCAGATTATAGATTTTGTTATTTTGGTCTTATTATTGGCTATAAGGGATTTCCTTGAATCTACTTTGTATTTTATTTAAGTTTGTTTTCTTATTGATTATGAATATTTCAAGATATTGAAAGACTTTGGTGACAGGTCCTCCTGTTCAGAGAGCAAAAGAGAAGCGGCTTTGTTACTTGGTCAATTTGCTGCGGCTGATTCAAATTGCAAGGTAGATTGGACGCTTATTTCTCTTTCACTTTTTCTATCTGGAATGAAGGATTTACAATCATATATTTGGATGACTAGTTAGATCCTTTTCAAGTATCATGTAAGTATTTCTTTCTAATCAGTAGGGGTGTTCAAAAGCGGTTAACCGGTTTAGTTACTTGCTTTCTTGAATCAAATCGGTTTTTCAGTTTAGGAATTTTCCTGAACCGAAACCAAACCGGTTTGGGAGGAAAACTGATTTTTTAATTAATCAAAAACTGGTTAACCGCTTTGAAAAAACCGGTTAATCGGTTTTGAATTGGTTTTCCCCTTTTTATTGGATAAAACTTTTTTTTTTAAATTTTGTTTCTTAAATTAAATTGTAAACATCAACAATACATATCCAATTAAAATTAAACATTCATACACATTCATTGATCACAATTAACAATACATTAAAAATTGATACAAATAAAAGTCTAAAATTAAACAAAAATAAAAGTCCATAATGAAATATCCATAATAAAACAACAAAATAATTAAATAAGTCTCAATGGAAAACAACAAAAGAAATTGTGTAAATTTAGGGATTAAGATTATTATTATTATTTTTATTTAATAAATATATTTTAGTATACCGGTTCAAAAAACTAGTTTCGGTTAACCGGTTTTCATTTTTATCCGAATCGAAAATTGAGTCTAAAATCCGGTTTTTTGACTTCTTTGAACTATAACCGAACTGTTTTTTCGGTTAATCAGTTTTTCGGTTTGGTTTTCGCATTTTTTTGAACACCTCTACTAATCAGTACAAGTATGTGTTCCATGCAGGTGAACATTGTTCAGAGAGGAGCTGTACGGCCATTAATTGAGATGCTTCAGTCCTCAGATTCACAGCTTCAGGAAATGTCAGCTTTTGCACTAGGGAGATTGGCACAGGTTACTAATTCTTTGATCCTGTTGTGCCTTAGTCAAATAAGATATATCAGCATTCAGCTAGTTGAATCTGTTGCTTAATAGACTGAGTAGTTTTAGTAATCAACTCAAATTGAATTTTGAAAAGAAGGTTGCTTAACGTTTTTTTTTTTTTTTTTTTTAAAATAGAAATTCTGCTACAATAACATTTATCATTTAGCATATTAAGACTTTTTAATTTTTGATTATATTTCTTAGTAAAGAAAATAAAGAAAATGGTTTTATTAACATGTCGAGGTGTCCTCCATTGACAGTTATTAGGTTTGTGCACAGGTAGCTCATTATTATTGCAACTGAAATAAACATATATGCATTCTGCTTCTCTTCTGATCTTTTGGCTTACTTGCATATCCTGAAGCACTTTTGTGCTTCAAAGAAGTGATACCATGTTCTCAATTTACTCTATTATTAATCATGCTGGAAAACAAGCTTTCTTGGTTCTTATTAAATTTATTCAGTAGCTATCAATAACAATATTTGGTTTCTTCCTAATATATCTTAGTACCTTTTCAGTGTGTTATTTTTCTGAATCCTATCAAAAGTATATTACTATTCAGAATGATTGGTATGAAGTCTTGCAAGTTATTCATTTTTTTTTTTTTTCTGAATGTGCTAAAACTTGTATCGCAGGACACACACAACCAAGCTGGCATTGCTCAGGATGGTGGTATTGTGCCATTGCTTAAACTTCTCGATTCTAAAAATGGGTCTCTGCAGCATAATGCTGCATTTGCTCTATATGGTCTTGCAGATAATGAGGTAAGTAAAGGTCATTGGTTTTTGGAATTGTTGTTACTTGTCCTTTAATTACTCATCTTACCCCAAAAACTAGGAGTGCTCATATGAAGTTTCCTGTAGGATAATGTTGCAGATCTTATCAAGTTTGGAGTTGTCCAGAAACTCCAAGATGGAGAATTCATTGCCCAAGTATGCTTCTTTTTTATTTTTTATGGTTGATTTATTGCTATTCTGTTGTAGTCTTCAACTTCTTTCATTTACAGTGCCATAACATTTTGTACTTAGTTTCTTTAATTTGATACTTGCAGCAAACTAAGGACTGTATAGCAAAGACTATGAAAAGGTTAGAGGAGAAGATTCAGGGACGGGTGAGTTCATAAACTTTAAGTCCATTGACTTGATTGAAATTGTACTTTCATTTTCATGTGAGCTGTTTGTATGCACTTATATGGCTATTGTGTTAAATTTTGAAAAAGATTCATTAAAGAAATTTGAGTGTATAAGCATAATTTGGTTTAACAAATAGCATCAATTTAATATTGTTATTTTCATTCTTTTTTTCTTGACAGGTTTTGAAACATCTGTTGTATATGATGCGGGTTGCAAACAAGGCTGTTCAACGACGAGTTGCATTGGCTCTTGCTCATTTTTGTGCCCCTGATGATTGTAGAAATATTTTTATTAATAACAATGGTATGGATATTTGGGCTGTCAATTTTAGTCAGTCATCTTTAGCAGTTCCGTCTATTTTTGTTCTTACCTTGTTTGCTTGCTTTTACATCCACATTTTGTGCCTGCAGGATTAGAATTACTTTTGGGGCTTCTTGAGTGTACAACTGTGAAGCTACAAGATGACAGTTCAGTGGCGTTGTATAAGTTGGCTACCAAAGCCTTTTCACTCTCTCCTGTGGATGCAGCTCCTCCATCACCAACCCCACAGGTTTTTCTTTTTTCTTTTTATTTTTCCATATTCCTGGAGTTTTGCAAGGGATCATACTGTCTAATCTGAAAATTAAGTAAAATAGTTGATTTCTTATTGTTTGCTTTTTTGTCACCAATTTGGTACAAGATGCCCGCTCTCATTTACCTTGTACAGTGATCTATTTAACTGCTCTTTGTTATTATCTCCTGCAAAAGTTCTGAACACTAGTATTTGCTCTGAATCATTATTTCTTTGTTCCTAAAACATGGATTTAAGCTTTTTATTTATACTTTTTGGCTTTAGTCATGAGGTTTTTTGTTTAAATTGATTTGGCTCTTTTGCTTCTGAGCCCTGCTCATATCTTTTGCTGTTTTCAAACTGCTATTATGCTGACTTGCATATCCAGGGTACTGAAAATGAAAATTTTCAGTTCTTGTTTTCAGTTTCTTCTGGTACACTTTTAGTTTTATTAAAATTACTTTATTTTGTTGCAGGTGTATTTGGGTGAGCAATATGTAAACAATCCAACATTGTCTGATGTAACATTCTTAGTTGAAGGTATAAAGTTGTTCTTGTGTATGCCCTTGTTAATGTTTAATGTCTTTTATTTATTTATTTTAAATCTTATGTGCAATATTTTATGCTATCAGGNGATCTATTTAACTGCTCTTTGTTATTATCTCCTGCAAAAGTTCTGAACATTAGTATTTGCTCTGAATCATTATTTCTTTGTTCCTAAAACATGGATTTAAGCTTTTTATTTATACTTTTTGGCTTTAGTCATGAGGTTTTTTGTTTAAATTGATTAGTCTCTTTTGCTTCTGTGCCGTGCTCATATCTTTTGCTGTTTTCAAACTGCTATTATGCTGACTTGCATATCCAGGGTACTGAAAATGAAAATTTTCAGTTCTTGTTTTCAGTTTCTTCTGGTACACTTTTAGTTTTATTAAAAATACTTTATTTTGTTGCAGGTGTATTTGGGTGAGCAATATGTAAACAATCCAACATTGTCTGATGTAACATTCTTAGTTGAAGGTATAAAGTTGTTCTTGTGTATGCCCTTGTTAATGTTTAATGTCTTTTATTTATTTATTTTAAATCTTATGTGCAATATTTTATGCTATCAGGTAAACGGTTCTATGCACATAGAATTTGTTTGCTTGCTTCTTCGGATGCTTTTCGTGCAATGTTTGATGGTGGTTATAGGGTGAGTTTTAATTTCAGCCCTTGTTCATTATTTGTCGAGTTAATAAGTTGTTCCTCAACCCTTAAACTTCCCATCCCCAACTAAAAAGCGAATATAATTTAAAATTAAGAAGGAAAACATGACTGGAAATCATGTGTGTGGATTTGATCATTCGTCGAACTTCTGAAAACTCTACACAAGATTGTTTCAGCTGAGCTATGCAATGTCTTGCACTCTTGGCTAGTTGATTGGGTGTAAAGACTATAGAATTTTGATCTATTACTTATGTAAAATCTTTGTAAAATTGAATTGCAGGAGAAACTTGCTAAAGATGTAGAAATTCCAAATATCAGATGGGACGTTTTTGAGTTGATGATGAGGTGAGATCTTCACATTCCCCCTTCAAAAGGTTGTTCAAGAAGTGAAATGTCCTTTTGTGCTGATATTTTACTGCATTGTCTGTGCTTTTAGATTCATATATACAGGATCTGTAGATGTTAATATAGATGTTGCTCAAGATCTTCTCAAGGCTGCCGACCAGTATCTCTTAGATGGTCTCAAACGTCTCTGCGAGTTTGCCATTGCACAGGTTGGCTAGAAGATTACTTTGATAAATGTGCTTTTGTATATCATGATATTTATACTAGAAGCTAATCCAACGACTTACTCTCATTCTTTAGGATATTTCAACTGAGAACGTCCCATTCATGTTTGAGTTTTCTGAGGCCTATAATGCTGTGTCATTAAAGCAATCGTGCATACTGTTTATACTGGAAAAATTCGACAAATTAAGGAGCAAGCCATGGTATGACACCTCCTCTAGCCCTGCCCATTCGAAAAAAGTGTATGTTTTGGTTTGTGTTAAGAAAAAGAATCTAATTTAACATGATAATCTGCAGGTGTTATCACTTTATCCAACATATACTACCGGAGATACGCAATTACTTTACACAAGCGTTTTGAAGCCTATCATGGTTAACTCAATGCAAATTGTAGATGGTTGAGCTTAGAGTTTTAGATCTTTTGATTAATTGTAAAGATGGAAGACTGGGAATGTACAGAGTTTAGGTCATGTTGTTAATGTCGGGTCAATGAAGGAAATTTTTCTGATCTCCAAATGTAGCCATTCTTAGTGATTCTCATACTCATAGACGTGTATTGCAAAATCCCAAATCCCAGATATTCCAGACAATTATTAATCTTGATGAGTCAAAATAAATAAAATTTAAATCATTCTTTTAGTTATTGTCAGTTTACTTTTCGGTTTTTTTTTTTTTAAATATTCAGTTATAATCTTGTCAGTTTGAGTATTTTTTGGGTATTTAATTTACATGATCAAAGTTTATTATTTCCTTTTTTTTTTTTTTTTAAATTGTAGAGTTCGGTAAGGTTCTACTTGAGTTTGAATAAGCCTTTGTAAAACAAGGTCATGTATGTGGATTATGAAAAAAAAAGAGTATAATAATGTAATTACATTTTTAAATAAATGCTAAATTGTTTAGTTAAATGATTAATTGTTTATCTATTATATAAATAAATATGGAATAAACTATTTTATATTTATTTAATTGATTTTTTTATTTAGTAGGAAGGAGAAAATAGTTAATTTAACGTTAAGTAAATACTTGTTATTATCTTATTCAATTTTTTTTTTTTTTTTAAATAATGAACTCTTTAGACAAATATTAGCTCGGTACTAAAAGAACTTTTACCTGGACTTTATTTATTTATTTTCCTTTATTTATTCAGACTTGAGAAACGTTTCGAACAAAAGGATTCGTCTGTTTGCTGCACTCTGTTAGATTAAACAGAAGAGAGCAAAAGATAACACATAAATTTACCATTCATCTGTTTCTGACCTCACACGAAAAGAGCGTCAATGGCGCTTCAGCTTTCAATTCTACGTTTCCATTCTCCCACTCTCTCCTTCCACTTTTTTCATTCCCCAACCAAAACCAAAGCGTCTGCTTCTATTTCAGCTCTCGCCTCCACTGCTTCCTCCTCCATTCAGGCAACTTCTTTCTTACCAGCTCCTCTTTTCCTTCTAATTTCCTTCGCTTCTTTATATTAATTTTGAGCTACAATTGACGAGAAAATGGAAATTATTTCAGATTGTTGGTGGCCAAAAATTGATTCGGCATGGAAATTCAAATTCCAATGGCGGTTTTGAGAGCTACGATGAAGAATTTGATTGGGTTGATTTGGATGCTGATCTTTATTACTGGACCAAGCCTTTGCGGCCCGTTCAGGTACTTTAATTAAACTTTATCATTTCTTAATTACTAAAATATTTATGTTTAGAAATTAGAACACCATTTATTTAATTTATTTATTTGTTTCTGTTGTGTGATGATAATTCTACAGTGGTATCCTGGTCATATTGCGAAAACTGAAAAGGAACTTAAAGAACAACTCAAGTTGATGGATGTCGTCATTGAAGTGCGTGACGCTAGAATTCCCTTGTCCACTAGTCATCCTCAGGTACTTAAACGTCTTATTGTTTACTCCTTTTAAATTTTGAAAGTTTTCGGACAGTTGATGTTTATTGCTTATTCAAACTTTGAAATATTTTGATTATGTTTAAGTTTTTACGGTTAATTTATGAGCAGATGGATTCGTGGCTCGGTAATAGGAAAAGAATTTTAGTGTTGAATAGAGAAGACATGATATCTACAGCAGATAGGAATGCGTGGGCAACTTATTATGCAATGCAGGGAACTAAAGTTATCTTCTCCAATGGAAAGCTTGGAATGGTATGTCCATAGGAGATGTTATTTATCTTTCTTTAGTTTACGCGTCATAGCAGAAAATAAACACTCTTATGTGGTAAATACAGGGCACTATGAAGTTAAGTCGGTTAGCGAAGGCACTGGCAGCTGGTGTAAATGTCAAACGCAAAGCCAAAGGACTCCTCCCTCGTCCGGTGGGTTTCCCTGATCCATTACATATCGATATTGAACCTTATGTTGCTTACAGTTTATTTTCAGATGTTTATCACCTGCTCTTGCGTTAGTGTCTATTCCGGCAAAATATTTTATAGTTTCCTTGCTTTCAGTCACACATGAAATAAAGTTGTGATGCTGTCTTGCTGTATACTAGTTTTATTTATTTGGTATCAACATGCATATGATTGTTGACCCCTTAATTTTTCTGGATATAAATTTCACTTTCGAAAGATGAAGGATTTTTCTTGATCATTTTACAGGTTCGAGCTGGAATAGTTGGATATCCAAATGTTGGCAAGTCATCTTTAATCAATCGTTTGCTGAAGCGGCGGATGTGTCCAGCAGCTCCCAGACCAGGTGTTACAAGAGAATTGAAGTACGTATTCTAGTCTTTATCGCTTAGAAATCATTGAAAATGTTAAGACATAACTTAATTCAATACTATTGGAATTTTGAAAACGAAAAAGTTTTGAGTTTGTGGGAAGCATATAATGCTTACCTTGTCAAAAGTGTTGGAGTGGCCCAGAAATGAAATGGTGGTTTTGAACAAGCAGAAACATTGACATGGAATTTTGGCATAAGATTGCAATTAAAATTTCTAATCCCTGAATTCTTGTAGCCCTAGGAAATACAGAGAGCTCCCTAGAAAGCTGAAATTCTTTTCACATTTTATTAACACTGCTAGAAACTTAATAAAGAACAAGGTCTGAATACTGTAAGCAAAACTTTGAATTAGTTTGGAAGTTCTGGAGTTTTGTGGTTTTGTATTTATTGTCAACAGAAAAGATGGTTATAAAAGATAATTATGACCTTAATCTTTCATTTGTAAATTTTTCTCGTGTTAGGCTATAATCAATTAATAATACCTTGTGGACCTTTCTAATTTTCTTTGAAGATGGGTTCGTTTTGGTAAAGATCTTGAATTTTTGGACTCTCCTGGAATAATCCCAATGAGGATTAGCGATCAAGCAGCTGCAATAAAGCTTGCCATATGTGATGACATTGGAGAGAGATCCTATGATGTTACTGATGTTGCAGTGATTCTTGTCCAAATGCTGGCAAGGATTCCAACAGTAGGTATGGTATTCTTTCGATTCTGCACTCATTTGCTTATGTTTATTATTTTGACATTAAGTCAGAGACGCTTCCATTTAGAACAAAAGGTTTTCAAGTCTAACTGATAATAGACAATTTAAGAGGCAACCTATTGCTTAATCATTGGTAATAAGACAAGAGGTTGGTTAATTCTGATTCGAGGGTTCATTTTGATCCTGGCGTAAAGGGGAAAATTTGCAAAGGACTGAAATATAGTCAATGGAAATTTAATTAGATGGTTCTATTGTATGGACTTTTATTACCATGAGATGCCACAATTTGAATTCTGAAATTCACTGTAGCTCAATTTGTCGAGTTCAACATGTAATCTAATTTATGCTCCTTGCCAGGCTCAAAGGCACTTCAAAACCGTTACAAGATTGACGTGGATGGTAACTGTGGTAAAATGTATGTCTCAATGACTGTAGTTTTCGCTTGAAAGGGTGAGATGACAGACTGGGAAGATTCCTAATGCCAATCTCCTCCTGGTGAAACTTATTTTGAACTAGGGGAAGCGATATCTTTTTGGCTTAGGTATCTTTTTCAGGATGTACAAGTACCCTGAAATTTCATTCCCCAACAATTTCTTATTGATCTAGTAATGCTGTTGTATTGCAGATTTATTCAGAAGCTTGCTCTCCATTTGTTTAATGGGGATTCCCACCAGGCAGCATTCAGGGTCTTGTCAGATTTCCGGAAAGGAAGGTTTGGTTGGATTTCACTGGAGAGGCCCCCCAGGTAACATCTCAGGGTGCTTGCATTGCGTCCAAGATGATGTAAAGCTTCTGTGAGCCCCTCCTGGTGTCTCTTGAGTGGTGAAGGGTGAGAGCTGTCAACTAGTGAATTTAGAAATCCTGTAGGTTTTGGTTGACTGCAGTGCCTTAGCGAAGAGAAAAACTTCATTTTATTGTAATTGCACTGATTAAGGAGACAAAAGAGGCAGCAAGTTTTTAGAAAGGGCTGAAAAGTGAAGTCATGGTGAAAATGGATATTTCTCACCAAAAGGTTAGTATACTAGATTTTATTATTACTTTTTCAATATGCATTCTCCCCGGAGACCCAATTGCATCAAGCCTGTTACATATTCTGTACTCCTCTTGTATAGCAAATGTTTGCAAATTATAACTCATCTCCAGATTTATGTACTTTTGCATTTGGTTTATGAACTTAAAAGAGCTAGTCTTTTGACTATAGCAAAACATAGCATAAACTAGTGGCTACAATTGTCTTTAGCAAAGGCTTTTGGTTTAAACTTCAAATACGATCGAAACATGGCGAGCCATATGTGCACTTTTATCCGGTATCAGTGAATTGGCGGATCATATTGTTGATTATTTGAATGAAGTTTATAACTCTCAAGTTTGAACATCCTAAAGTTTTCATTGTATGATTGTGAAGTTAATTTTACATTTTACATTTTGTGAAGTTAGCGCCTAGTTACTGCCTTTACTAAAAGCTCAGGATAACTGCACTTTGTAAATATGGATTCTGCAAGGTCTACTCTTAATATTGATTTTGTTTCTTGGAGTCGCTCCCTATGATGTCATGTGGGTGTTTAGAATATGTTTAAAAGAAAATTTAGGTTAGATCCATTAAACTACAACCATTTTCTGCTTTTTTTTTAGGTAAGAAGCTCTAAGATAAGGATAATTTTGCTTTTTGTTTATATATTATCAGGATTAAATGATTCAGCTGTTACATAATCTTTCCACAATAGGCAATAAATAATATTACTGTCCACTTGAATCAAAAGTTTTACTTTTCACTCTAGTTTTACATGTTACATAATCTTTCCATAATAGACAATAAATAATATTATTGTCTACTTAAATCAAATTTTGACTTTGCTCTATAATCTCATATAAAATTTTCTCATACATGTAACATTATGAGGGAGTATTATGTGAGATACAACATTATGAGGAATCACCATTGGGTGACATGATGGCAAAATAGCAAAAGACGATTTAACATGGTCTCTTAAGAGGATGATCTAATATGATTTCTCAAGTTCGAGTCCTTTTAAGGGTAAAAGAGCAAGAGGAGGATTTAACATGATTTTCTGAATTTGAGTTTTCACGATTGCTAATAGGGATAGTCATTAGAGTTTGTACCGGATCGATAGTTCTAGGGTCTTGAAGAATAAGTTGAAATACACATAAACTTGCTCAAACATGTCCGGTCATAACAAAAAAAAAGATAAAAAAAAACATTACGAGGAAGTGTTATGAGTATCATGCGAGGTGAATGTACTATGTCATCCCCATACGTCCATTTACTAAAAGTTGTTCACGTATATATTAATCTTTAATTGATAAAAAAGAGAAAAAAAAAAGTGGGAAATTTACCAAAAGTTCTTCACGTATATATTAATCTTTAATTGATAAAAAAAGAAATAAAAAACTGTGGGAAGTTATTGAAGGACAAGAAGTTTCTCTCATAACAGTTTCACCCCCTTACATGAGGAATATGACTTGTGAGGCGCGAATAAGAGCCTACAACTGAATTGTAGGCGTGATTCGTGAAGGCCAACTTGGAGGCGTGATTCGTGAAGGGCGGCTTGAAGGCGTGCGCCTGCGTCTCCCAAGCTTTTTTTTTACTTATTTATTCACTCTCTCGGAGTCATTGTATAAAGAAGTTGAAAGAGGAAGCGCGCACTCTTCGTAGAGCAAGGTGCAGCCATGGAAGATACAGTGTCATACTTTAAAATTCCACCTGCAAGTGCAAGACATGGTCAGACTCAGTCTGGCAGTTTTCATGTAAACACGAGTTAAAGAACAAGAACAACTGGCGTTAAAACTTAAAAGGAATATGAAAACTTCTGCGCTCAGAATGTCGAAGCTTGCAGTTGGGATTTTGAAGTTTAACAGTTGACACTGTAGTTTTCATGGCTTCACCTTGCTCCACAACAAGAGAGAAGCCACTTATGTCTAGAGTACTCAGCAGATAAGGGTACTGAGACAAGTTGGCAGCTTCTTCAACAAAGAGAGACAAACATGAATCAAATATTTTTTTAGTTTGTATTCAGATTTGGCTTGGAATCATGATTGTAATGGCAACAATATTTCAGTAGACTAGTACTGTCAAATCCCCGGTCCGACTAAGTAAATGTTGTGCACTTTGTGTCCAGACTCTCATGAGTTTGTTTTTGCGTTTCCGCAAGTATGATGTGACAAACTCCTCATCTTCTAAAGTCTCACATCCTCGTGAAATACTGCTTTGACACTAATTATCAAATTCCGGTTTAACCAAATAGATATTGTCCGCTTTGCAGTAGCTCGCACAAGTTTTGCTTTTAGACTTCAAACAAGCATTCTTCCTGCAAAATTCATTTATTTAGTTATGAAAATTCAAACCTAATAAACTGGATCCTAAGCTCATAACCCATCTATTTAGTTATGAAAATTCAAGCCTAATAAACAGGATTCTAAGCTCATCCGCTGGGCCACAGAGATGTGACAAAGATTGCCAACTCAAACATTGAGAAACCAGAGGTCTACTCAAGACTCTTCTTGCTTGACGCCTTGAACCCCTTGTCTTTCGCTATTATCATATTTCTTTTACTTTGTTGTGCCTTGTTATGATTCTCTCTATTCTCTCCATAACTACAGTAATTGTTTTTGTAGTTCCGAAGCAGCCACAAGAATCTGCATGTCTGACGTTCCAGGTAAAACACAGGCAAACACGGGGCACTGATGGTAGCTGTGCTCTTCAAACTGATATGTGCCCACAATTTCTTTCGAATTTTAATGGATATAATTACTCTTTCCATATCATCAACAGCTGCCACAAACTAAAATAGGGTTAAAAAATAAAGAGAGACAAATGAAAATGGATGCCAGAGTGGAAGACAAAGCACATGATAAAACACAAGAAATATAGAGCAGCTCATAAGGAGTAGTAATAAAATACAAAATCATGCAGAGAAAGTGAACATGCTGCCTCTGCAATGATCATTCACTAAAAACAACTATGGCATAGACGATAATCAACAACATCCAGAACTTGAAAATGCTCAAGCCAAATGTAGGGATTGTAATGATACATTGATATGATTTGCTATTTTCATCTTGCACTCGTGGGAACACATGCTGAATTGCCTTTATTTGACCAGTTCTCCTTAACTTTACAGGCTTGAATTGGCCGTTCAATTTGGAGACCTTCTGCAGCTTCTTTTTCCAACTGTGAACAAAACCTTTGGAATGTCTTCACATTCACTTGAAGTCTGAAATCTAGACTAAACAAAAACTTCATTTCCATCCTGTTCAATTCTGATGTGCTTACTCCTCCCACTCTGGCGTAGTATGCGTTATTGTAAAATCTGCAAGACATTCAGAATATTACTTTTCACAACTTTCCGCCGACTACAAAGCCAAAAAAAAAAGATGCAGATAAATGAAATACACAGCTTCATGAATTATATTTCCCTGTAATCAATCATTGTCCACTGGACCGCCTCACAATCAAGTTTCATATTATCTTGAATGCCATGTCCACACACAAGATATCCGAAGATACATTTCCAATGTAGTGACATAATACTTTCTTATCTTGTTGAAAAGGTATGAACAAATATTATTTTCTTCGGCCAAAACTTACATTAACACGCACAAGCACATGCAAATGCACACACAATAATTTAAGTCTCTCCTTAGCCCTCTTGAAAGAATATGATAGATTTATGATCAAGTATAAGTTGCACGGTTAATATCACAGGCCACTATATTGAGATATTTAAGGCTATATAATATGATGGAATATACATCAAACTTCAAGGATTAGTACTTACGCATCATCAATAAATTTTGCAGCTACCATTACACTTGTTATAAGAAGCCGGTGAACATTAAGAGAAGTTAAATGAACTTCAGTTTGCTGAAGGAATTTATCCACATAAATTTGTGCAATGACAAAGCAGGAGGGGCTACAGCTAGCATACTTGAAGATGCGATCAATATATTGTTGAATAGTTATGGTCGGTGCTCTTAACCCATGAAATACCGTTATGTTATCTTCAATCTGCATTGTCTCCAGTAGCAATTCATTTTTCTGAACAGATCTCTCCAAAACTCTGGCAACAAGTGATAAAATCTTTGGACTTCCCAGAACTCCTCTGCCCAATTCTTTCAGTCCCAATGTCTGGTATATATCTGGGTCTACACTCTCAGTATCAAGTGCCAAACTTCCCATATTTAGACTGTGCTTCAACAGAGTAACATTGAAAAGTCCATTAACATCAAAAGAAAAAAAAAAAAAATCCTGTAAGAGGAAATATAAAATACTAAAAACGAATATTTGTTGGGTATATTAAACCATTTAAAGAGAGAGGGATCACTCTGCAACAAATTACACAACAACCCAGTTGTTGAAACTCAGAATAGGATCTGGCAATAGTTCCAAGTGTTCAACCATTCTAGGCTCCCTAACATAGATGAAATAATTCATCTCATGCTAGCTCTTCACCCCAAGACAAGAATTGAAACGATGCTACTGAGCTGAAAAGGCTTATTAAAAGAAAACTAAAATGCATCCTTAACAACCAGTATTGAGAACAGGGAATTTAATCCCATATTCACTCATTTGGGATGCGAAAACCCAAGTAGCAAAGCCTTTGGGTTAAACTAGCATTTGGTACAGTTAAGGGGCTACTATTTCATCACCTTCCAGAAGGACTAGAGAGTTGGAGAAGACAAAGTTTCTTGGAGGGCACAGAACGGATTGGCCAGAGGTTTGACATCTAAATTTCTAATGAAAGTCTGTATGCCAGTACACAACATTAAACAGTTTGCAGACTCCATTCAGGGTAGGCAGTTATATTTCTACAAGAAATTTTTACAGAAAAAACTTGGAACTCTGACAAGGCAGGTGACCATATAGAATTTCCAATTATATAGTAAAGACCCGTCCATTAAAGACATAATCATACCAATCACAATCCAATTGCCGTTTATATGGTAAGGACTATTATTTATATGGCTAGATTCAGTGTGTTTTTTAGGCAAATCAAGTGACCAAATGCTTCACAGGGAAAGTTTTGATACTTGATAGATTCAAACAACACAAGATAACTCTTTATAAGAACTATCTATTTGTATTCTCACTATGATTGAATTTCAGATCTCACAGTCTCCCACTTAACATTTCCCCACAAATATGGAAACTGAAGTTCTGAAACCCACTAATGAAAAAACGTGTCAAAGATAGGAAACCCATGTAATCAACTTGAACAAGCAAACAAGAAAATGCATTATCTATCAAATCCCAAGCTCAGGAAACACAATACAAAGTTAAAATCATGATATATAAGATTATTCACAAAAAATAAGAAAAAATACTTAACTGATTCTAGAAAGAGATGTCCGTTTAGACTGTAGTCACGAATAAGCTATGAAAACACAGCCAGCAAACACGGGGCACTGATGGTAGCTGTGCTCTTCAAACTGATATGTGCCCACAATTTCTTTCGAATTTTAATGGATATAATTACTCTTTCCATATCATCAACAGCTGCCACAAACTAAAATAGGGTTAAAAAATAAAGAGAGACAAGATGCCAGAGTGGAAGACAAAGCACATGATAAAACACAAGAAATATGAGCAACTCATAAGAGTTTCGGTCGGATTTTCATGGGATCTTCGTCATCTTCGTTGGAGCTTCGTCGGATCTTCGTCATCTTCGTCGGATCTTCATCATCTTTGTCCGAGCTTCGTCATTTTCGTCAGATCTTCATCATTCTTTTGACATCAAAAAGAAAAACAAATTTGAGAAGCTACGAAAGTGATAGTAACTATTTGTTTCCAGCGAAAAGAACAAGGAAAAACAATGGTTGTTGCTGATACACCGATTCTCTCTCGCTTAGATCGTTTAGAGAACATGGTAAGTCCTTTAAAGCCAGATAATCGACAGATCCTGTCTGTTGGTTATAATGTGTTAGTATAATATGTGTTGTGGTTAACAGTTGAGACAGGTAGAAGAAATTAGATGCTGTAGTAGGTCACCAAAGAGTTCATGTGCATCTACTCTATCAAGTGGGACCCTAAATAGTGGTGGCCTTCCCTCGTCCGTTGATTTCTCCTCAAAGAGTCTAGAGAAGTGAAATAAATCAGTTTGGCAATAGATGCGCACTGCTGCCCAGCAAATTTAAAAAGAAAAAAAATTGAATTTTTTATTAAAAAATTCAATTATTTGGAGTTGGCTGGCGAGCCGGCTCGAACTCGGCTCGATAAGCCAGTTCGAAATATGTTAAAATCATTAACGAGCTGAGTCGAGTCATACTCGTACTCGACTCGTTAAATTTTTCTCTTGCACGAGCCGAGCTCGTTAAGCCGAAAACTCGGCTCGATAACACCGCTAGATACAACATTACGAGGAATCACCACTGAGTGACATGACGGTAAAATAGCAAAAGAAGATTTAACATGGTCTCTCAAGAGGATAATCTAATATGATTTCTCAAGTTCGAGTCCCTTTAAGGGTAAAAGAGCAAAAGGAAGATTTAACATGATTTTCTGAATTTGAGTTTCCACGATTGCTAATAGGGGTAGTCATTGGAGCTTGTACTAGGTCGATAGTTCTAAGGTCCTGAAGAATAAGTTGAAATATACATAAACTTGCTCGAACACGTCTGGTCATAACAAAAAAAGAAAAAAAAAAAAAAAACATCACCAGAAAGTGTTATGAGTATCATGTGAGATGAATGTACTATGTCATCCCCATGCGTCCATTTACTAAAAGTTGTTCACGTAATATATTAATCTTTAATTGATAAAAAAGAGAAAAAAAAAAAAGTGGGAAATTTACCAAAAGTTCTTCACGTATATATTACTCTTTAATTGATAAAAAAGAGAAAAAAAAAAAAAGTGGGAACTTCTTGTCTCATAACAGTTTCACCCGCTTACATGAGGAATATGACTTGTGAGGCGCGAATAAGAGCCTACAACTGAATTTGTAGGCGTGATTCGTGAAGGCCAACTTGGAGGCGTGATTCGTGAAGGGCGGCTTGAAGGCGTGCGCCTGCGTCTCCCAAGCTTTTTTTTACTTATTTATTCACTCTCTCGGAGTCATTGTATAAGGAAGTTGAAAGAGGAAGCGCGCACTCTTCGTAGAGCGAGGTGCAGCCATGGAAGATACAGTGTCATACTTTAAAATTCCACCTGCAAGTGCAAGACATGGTCAGACTCAAGTCTGGCAGTTTTCATGTAAACACGAGTTAAAGAACAAGAACAACTCGCGTTAAAACTTAAAAGGAATATGAAAACTTCTGCACTCAGAATGTCAAAGCTTGCAGTTGGAATTTTGAAGTTTAACAGTTGACACTGTAGTTTTCATGGCTTCACCCTGTTCCACAACAAGAGAGAAGCCACTTATGTCTAGAGTACTCAGCAGATAAGGGTGCTGAAACAAGTTGGCAGCTTCTTCAACAAAGAGAGACAAACATGAATCAAATATTTTTTTTGTTTGTATTCAAATTTGGGTTGGAATCATGATTGTAATGGCAACAATATTTCAGTAGACTAGTACTGTCAAATCCCCGGTCCGACTAAGTAAATGTTGTGCACTTTGTGTCCAGACTCTCATGAGTTTGTTTTTGCGTTTCCGCAAGTATGATGTGACAAACTCCTCATCTTCTAAAGTCTCACATCCTCGTGAAATACTGCTTTGACACTAATTATCAAATTCCGGTTTAACCAAATAGATATTGTCCGCTTTGCAGTAGCTCGCACAAGTTTTGCTTTTAGACTTCAAACAAGCATTCTTCCTGCAAAATTCATTTATTTAGTTATGAAAATTCAAACCTAATAAACTGGATCCTAAGCTCATAACCCATCTATTTAGTTATGAAAATTCAAGCCTAATAAACAGGATTCTAAGCTCATCCGCTGGGCCACAGAGATGTGACAAAGATTGCCAACTCAAACATTGAGAAACCAGAGGTCTACTCAAGACTCTTCTTGCTTGAAGCCTTGAACCCCTTGTCTTTCGCTATTATCATATTTCTTTTACTTTGTTGTGCCTTGTTATGATTTTCTCTATTCCCTCCACAACTACAGTAATTGTTTTTGTAGTTCTGAAGCAGCCACAAGAATCTGCATGTCTGACGTTCCAGGTAAAACACAGCCAAACACGGGGCACTGATGGTAGCTGTGCTCTTCAAACTGATATGTGCCCACAATTTCTTTCGAATTTTAATGGATATAATTACTCTTTCCATATCATCAACAGCTGCCACAAACTAAAATAGGGTTAAAAAATAAAGAGAGACAAATGAAAATGGATGCCAGAGTGGAAGACAAAGCACATGATAAAACACAAGAAATATAGAGCAGCTCATAAGGAGTAGTAATAAAATACAAAATCATGCAGAGAAAGTGAACATGCTGCCTCTGCAATGATCATTCACTAAAAACAACTATGGCATAGACGATAATCAACAACATCCAGAACTTGAAAATGCTCAAGCCAAATGTAGGGATTGTAATGATACATTGATATGATTTGCTATTTTCATCTTGCACTCGTGGGAACACATGCTGAATTGCCTTTATTTGACCAGTTCTCCTTAACTTTACAGGCTTGAATTGGCCGTTCAATTTGGAGACCTTCTGCAGCTTCTTTTTCCAACTGTGAACAAAACCTTTGGAATGTCTTCACATTCACTTGAAGTCTGAAATCTAGACTAAACAAAAACTTCATTTCCATCCTGTTCAATTCTGATGTGCTTACTCCTCCCACTCTGGCGTAGTATGCGTTATTGTAAAATCTGCAAGACATTCAGAATATTACTTTTCACAACTTTCCGCCGACTACAAAGCCAAAAAAAAAAGATGCAGATAAATGAAATACACAGCTTCATGAATTATATTTCCCTGTAATCAATCATTGTCCACTAGACCGCCTCACAATCAAGTTTCATATTATCTTGAATGCCATGTCCACACACAAGATATCAGAAGAGACATTTCCAATGTAGTGACATAATACTTTCTTATCTTGTTGAAAAGGTATGAACAAATATTATTTTCTTCAGCCAAAACTTACATTAACACGCACACACACGCACAAGCACATGCACATGCACACACAATAATTAAAGTATCTCCTTAGCCCTCTTGAAAGAATATGATAGATTTATGATCAAGTATAAGTTGCACGGTTAATATCACAGGCCACTATATTGAGATATTTAAGGCTATATAATATGATGGAATATACATCAAATTTCAAGGATTAGTACTTACGCATCATCAATAAATTTTGCAGCTACCATTACACTTGTTATAAGAAGCCGGTGAACATTAAGAGAAGTTAAATGAACTTCAGTTTGCTGAAGGAATTTATCCACATAAATTTGTGCAATAACAAAGCAGGAGGGGCTACAGCTAGCATACTTGAAGATGCGATCAATATATTGTTGAATAGTTATGGTCGGTGCTCTTAACCCATGAAATACCGTCATGTTATCTTCAATCTGCATTGTCTCCAGTAGCAATTCATTTTTCTGAACAGATCTCTCCAAAACTCTGGCAACAAGTGATAAAATCTTTGGACTTCCCAGAACTCCTCTGCCCAATTCTTTCAGTCCCAATGTCTGGTATATATCTGGGTCTACACTCTCAGTATCAAGTGCCAAACTTCCCATATTTAGACTGTGCTTCAACAGAGTAACATTGAAAAGTCCATTAACATCAAAAGAAAAAAAAAAAAAATCCTGTAAGAGGAAATATAAAATACTAAAAACGAATATTTGTTGGGTATATTAAACCATTTAAAGAGAGAGGGATCACTCTGCAACAAATTACACAACAACCCAGTTGTTGAAACTCAGAATAGGATCTGGCAATAGTTCCAAGTGTTCAACCATTCTAGGCTCCCTAACATAGATGAAATAATTCATCTCATGCTAGCTCTTCACCCCAAGACAAGAATTGAAACGATGCTACTGAGCTGAAAAGGCTTATTAAAAGAAAACTAAAATGCATCCTTAACAACCAGTATTGAGAACAGGGAATTTAATCCCATATTCACTCATTTGGGATGCGAAAACCCAAGTAGCAAAGCCTTTGGGTTAAACTAGCATTTGGTACAGTTAAGGGGCTACTATTTCATCACCTTCCAGAAGGACTAGAGAGTTGGAGAAGACAAAGTTTCTTGGAGGGCACAGAACGGATTGGCCAGAGGTTTGACATCTAAATTTCTAATGAAAGTCTGTATGCCAGTACACAACATTAAACAGTTTGCAGACTCCATTCAGGGTAGGCAGTTATATTTCTACAAGAAATTTTTACAGAAAAAACTTGGAACTCTGACAAGGCAGGTGACCATATAGAATTTCCAATTATATAGTAAAGACCCGTCCATTAAAGACATAATCATACCAATCACAATCCAATTGCCGTTTATATGGTAAGGACTATTATTTATATGGCTAGATTCACTGTGTTTTTCAGGCAAATCAAGTGACCAAATGCTTCACAGGGAAAGTTTTGATACTTGATAGATTCAAACAACACAAGATAACTCTTTATAAGAACTATCTATTTGTATTCTCACTATGATTGAATTTCAGATCTCACAGTCTCCCACTTAACATTTCCCCACAAATATGGAAACTGAAAAAACGTGTCAAAGATAGGAAACCCATGTAATCAACTTGAACAAGCAAACAAGAAAATGCATTATCTATCAAATCCCAAGCTCAGGAAACACAATACAAAGTTAAAATCATGATATATAAGATTATTCACAAAAAATAAGAAAAAATACTTAACTGATTCTAGAAAGAGATGTCCGTTTAGACTGTAGTCACGAATAAGCTATGATTTCTCGAACAGAAGTGTTAAGCACCAAGACGAAGATAACATAATACACAGCCCACATATACATAAATCTTATTAATTAAAAAGCTTTACACATTCTCTCTTCTCTTCCCCTCCATGTCTCTTCCTTAGTACACTTTTGTCAGATACAAAGAGAGAGATGGTATATCTTTGTTTCTTTATTTGTTGCTCACAAGTACACCATCCCCCTCTCTCTTCTCTCTCTCTCTCTCTCTCTCTCTCTCTTTAGTGGAGAGTAGGCCTTCTCTCTCTCCCTACATAAAAACTTTACATGGAAGATAGTGTCAGGAAGCAGCTCAACTTACCACTAATTCTTTTAAGTGGGTCGGTAAAGATTGTGCCTTTCTTCTTCCTGCTTCTTCTCTAGATCTTGCCTCTTTGTTATACTGGGTCCCATCTCATATCCTCAAATCACATTGCGTTTCAGAATTATAAGCCATTTTTATTATTATTATTTTTTTTAAACTCAGTTTTCAAGTTTGAGAATTAACTGATAAGAGGATAATTATTAGGACGGTTTAAATAAAAATTTAAAGTAATAAATCATGGTTGATCATCTTCGAAAGTGGATCTAAATTGGATGGTCCATGAGGGTTTGATCGTGTTTCTTGTGAAAGATTTTTATTAAATCACGCCGCAAGTCAGGCGGCCCACCGTCAATGGCTCGCTTGTAATCTTTTTCTTTAAGCATTTTTTATATAATTAAAGGTGGGTGTCTCGTGTAATCTCATCCTTAATAATTAATTGACTGCGAAACTTCTTATCATATCTCATAATTGTTAAACTGACCCTATTTTAATCCTTTCAAATCACGGGACTTAGCATTCGCTCGAGTGACAGATGAAATTAATATTATATAGCCTGAAGGGTATGGCACTAACCTTATTGCCTTTGGATCAAGAAATCTTTTGGATAAGAAATATTATATTATTAAAAATATTATGTTTGATTAGACAAGAATAAGTATGTTATATTTATCAGTTTGATCGAGAGGATAAAATGGGTTGGTAATTTATATTGATTATTAATTTTTAAATATTAATATAATATTATTTTTATTATTAATTTTTGAACCATTTCTTTTAATTCTATACCTTTAAAATTTGGCTAAAACACTCCAATTCTATAAAATTTTAATTTATAACAAAATCACTCTCAGTTACCTTAAGGATTGCTAGCAATCAGCCACCATAGTCAACAGTCACCTATAGTCGTCGTAACGACGCACGATTGCCAAATTTGGTTGGCTATGTACCGATAAGGCTATTTCCAGTCATGGATATGTGATTCACGGGTAGAAATGGCCAAATCTGACATTTCACGGCCAAAGATGTGGCTAGAGTTGGGCAAGGATCGGTCCCTTGTCGGCCCAGACCTGGGCCCGTTTGGGACTGATCCCAAATGGGACCAGTCACTCATGGGCCTGGGACCGGTCCCAAGCCCATGAGAAAAATCAAGACCCGGACCAGGCCCTAGGCTTGGTCGAGACTGGTCGTATGGGCTTGGATAATTCCCCCCTTGATATTTTTTTATATTTTAGGGGCGACATGAAGTTTTATAGGGGGATTTTAGTATTTTTTAGGGGTTGATTAGTAAATTTTTAAAAATTTAATTAATTTGAGAAAATAATAAATTAATAGTTAATTTTAATTTTTAACATAAATGTAATATTCACATTTTACACATTCACGCTTCACAAATAAACAATTAAATATTTTTTTTATTAAATTATTCATCTTCAATTTCATCGTCAACACTAGTTACATTATTCAAATCTGTATTCCTAAAGAGTTCGAGTAGTTCGGGATATTCAGGGTGCTGTTGTAGTCTTCTTTCTGCATAAGTCCAATCTCGTAAACACGTTATCACTTCAATCATCTCATCGGTTAAAGAACATCTTCTGTCTTCAACAATCCGACCACTCGTTGAAAATGTTGACTCGGATGCAATTGTAGAAACCGGCACAGATAAAATGTCACATGGCATTTGAGATATAATGGGGAATCGACTTTCATGTTGGTTCCACCATTGAAGAATATCCATGTCAAGTTACTCCTTCATTGTCATAAAGGTCAGGTCCACCTATAGGTAGCGAGTCAACTCATTTGGTCCATGTATGTACTAGCTGGAGCTTTCGCCACGTTCCACATACGCCAACTTGCTCGATCCTTGAGGGGGGGCTGCATCAAGGTCCTGATCGCCTTTCCTAGACGTTCCACTTTCACTTCCACTTCCACTTCCATTGTACTTGTTCTCATATAAAGAAAAAAGTCTATCCAATTTGTGTTTAAAGTCAATCAAATAAGACGTATAATCATATCCTAAATGCCGGTCAAACTCAGTAATTACACCATTAACTACGGATAATTTAAACCTAGGATCTAGAAAAAGGCCTAATCCATATAAGAATGGAATATCTAACCAATATCTCTTATATTTTTCTTCCATACTTAAAACAATTTCACGTAAAATGTTATCATATCTATATTGAGCAAAAGTTTTAGCAATTTGAACTAAAATATCTAACACTAAATTAGTAGTTGGATAATAAATACCACTTAATGTATTAGTAGCATCATAAAAAAGTTCACAAACCACCCAATCATCATAGCTGACAACTTCCTCTGAATGGTTCTTCCGGTTGATGAAATCTGTAATTTGTTTCGCAGTTGGCAAAGCTTTTTCCAACATCAAGTAGGTAGAGTTCCAACGGATAGGCATGTCTGTAAATAACTTCAAAGGTCAAACTGGTGGCTCCTCTTGCTTACAATATTTGACGTACTCCTGCCATCTTTTATTGCTACCGCCGACGATAAATCCGATAGCTCTACGCACCCTCTGTATCTTTGAATGTATAGCATCTAAACCTGCTTTAACTATCAAATTGATGATGTGATAAGCACATCTCTGGTGATAAAATTTGCCTTCACCAAGCGGATCCAATCTCTTTTCAAATAAAGAGATTGCCACGGTGTTAGCAGCTGCATTATCAAGCGTTAGCGCTACAACTCTATCAGTTAATAAATATTCTTGCAAAACTTCAAGAATTGTAAAATAAATAGTTTCAGCACTATGTTTTTCATATAATGGTTTAAAACCTATCAATTTTTGTTGTAAACCCCAATTATGATCTAAGAAATGTACTGTAATAGTTAAAAAATCGGTTTTTGATCTACAAGCCCATATGTCTGATATAAGTGCAATAGATATATTCCTAAAATTTTGAAATTCGTTTTTAAGTTTATTATTTATTTTGTTATAAAGTTTTAGTATATCTCTTCTACTTGTACTTCTACTAACAGGGGTATATGCTGGACAAAATGCAGTTTTAACCATATTAACAAAAAAAGGATTTTCAGATAAACAAATGGGAGAGTCCGTAGCAACTATATATCTTGCTATTTCCTCTCGTGCAACATGTGTATTGTATTGCCATGTTGAGAGAGTTGAGGATTGTGGATTAAAATTAAGTTGAGTTTGAATTTGTCTACCTGATCCGCTTGAAGATGCATTTATTTGGGGATGCTTCTTCTCTACGTGTCGTCGCATTGTCGAAGTCCCCTTCTCAGCGCCAATAATGGTTTCACATAAATTACATATCCCACACGATTCTTCCCCCTCCCCATTTGTCTTTGGCCGTTTTGATTTGGTGAAGTATCGCCAGACATCGGACACGACCCTCTTTGACGGTCGGGGGGGTTGGGCTATGTCCGTGCCCGTTGACTCGCAGCTCACATGTGTTTGGCTACACCTCGTCCCGGCCGAATGTGGTTGTGGAATTACAGCTGCATCCTCTGGAGGAAATGGTGAAAATGGATTGAAGGCTTCAATTTCTTCGGTGGATGGAACGTAAAACTCATTTGGGGAAGACATTATAAATTTATGATAAAATAATAAATAATTAAAATGAAAAGAAATTAAATAATAATATGAAATTATGATGATATTGAAAAATAGAAAAAAAATTGAATAATATAAATAAATAATATGAATAAATTATAAATATAAATTGAATGAGAAATTGATTGGAGATTTGGAATAGAGAGATTGAGAGAATGAAAGAATGAGAGATTGATTGGTGTGAAAAAAATGAAAGATTTTAGGGTTATTTATGTGTAGTTTGGAGGGGAGGGAATGAAAAAAAAAACTTATAATTAATAATATAATTATAACCGTTGGCTGCTGTGACCGTTGGCAGCCAACGGTTATAAAAAGTTAAAATACTTTTTTTTTTTTAATAAATTTTGTAAAATTTCATTTTAGCTCTTGTAATTTATACTTATTTAAAATTAATAAGGGGTTTAATGTAATTTTATAGGGGACTACAAGGATAAAATACAAAAAAAATTGTGCCCAGGCCCGGGCCCTCCTCCTCAGGCCTGGTCCCGTTTTGGGACCAGGCCTCCTAGGACCGGTCCTCTCAAGGACCGGGTTTTGGGATTGGGCTTTTGGGCTCGGTCCTAAATGCCCAGCTCTAGATGTGGCTATAAAATGGTCACAGATCTGATGTTGAAAAGGCTAGTTTTGGTGGCCATGAAACGGTCGGCGTTTCACGACCACATATCTAGTCTTTTCATGGCCATAGGTGTAGCCATGAAAAAGGTAAATTTGTGGCTGTGAAAAGCCGGCCAATTCACGGCCGCCAGATCTGGCCTTTTCATGACTAGATCTGGTTGTTTCTAGCCATGGATTTGTATAGCCTTATCGACACACGGTTGGCTAAATCTAGCAATAGTGCGCCATTTCGGTGACTGCCGATAGTGACCAGCGGTGGCGACCCGCAGTTGATAGTCCCTTGGCTGGCTGGCTAGGGTCTCGAGTAATTTTGTCTTAAAAATCCTAAGTATGAGGTTAAAATTGTCTATAAATTTTATTGTAAATTATTTAGATGACAAAGACATTTTTGTCCATAACTTTTATTAACAAGGAATAAAATTGTAACAAAAATAAAATTACCAAGTAATCCTAAAATACCTAAGAAAATTGAGATAATCATATTATCTCTAATATTATCAATAGTAATTTTTATTGGTTTTAAAAAATTACCAGAATTTTATATTACTTAACAAACAAACGTGGAAATCAAATAATATAAGATGACATTATCTCAATAATCATTTATTACCCCCAACCAAAACACACCCTAAGCAGGTTTGCTCATTTTCTTGAATTCTTATATTTAAACTTTAGGGCTACCTACCACAATAATATTGTAGCTTGTTTGGTCTTTTAAACTTATAGGATATTTAATAGACTCTCGTGATTAGTTGAGATATGTATAAGCTAATCTTAACACATTGGTTAAAAAAAAAATATTATAATATAAATTAAATACAATATTATAAAAAATTTATTAAAAAAACGAAGAAAGAT